CGTGATATGTTGGGGGAGAGTCAATGAGGCTTTTGTATATTGAAATCATGCCTCACCAATCTACTAGAATTCTTTGAGAGTGTCAAGAAACATGTGGACATATATGACCCAGTAGATATAGTTGTACTTGGACAAATAGAAAGTCTTTGACAAGATCCCTCACCAAAGGCTCTTCAGCAAAGTAGACAGTCATGGGATAAAAGGAAAAGTCCTCTCATGGATCAGTAACTGGTTAAAATATAGGGAACAAAGGGTAGGTATAAATGGTCAGTTTTCACAGTAGAGGGTGTGGTGGAAAATTAACCACACATCCTGTTTGGATCAGAACAAGCCTGAGGCTCCTTTATTGATTACAAGCGCAGGGGGGTAACAGCTCAAAGTAGCTGCCCCCGATGCAAAGCACACACAGCTTTTTAAAGCTTAAAACAGACAAATTGCACATTCTTCTGTATTAATTACCTTATTTGGAATACATTGCAAAATTAACACTGGTCAGAAGCAAAAATAAGCATCTTCCCCACTAGCCCCTCTTGTTATTCACTGTCTGTTCTTTTGCAGTCAGCGACCTTTCTAACACAACTGTTCCGGCTATATATTTCATAAGCTTGATGATTGCAAATTTGTTCTGTCCCCAAACCACAATTGGTCAAGCACCCTTCCATCAATTGCGTTTTCCCTTATTTGGCATATAATATAAGCTTTTAACAGTTGCTCTGCCTTATTTGGAATACAGCAAAACAAGCTTTTCCTGTTATTGACAAGAGTAATATATACCTCAATAGCTTTCATCAAATTATCTTTCAATGCAGTCTCACCGTTTGTTAAAACTTTAACAGCGTTTAAAAAGTTAGGAAAAAAGTCTGTGTAAAAAACCAAGCAAACTGAAGGAGTGACCCCCTAGAGCCTGGCTAAGGCAGACTATAGTGCATGAATCACTGGCTAGTCTAATTAGGCTTATCTGTTTTTAAAATGTAGAGAAACTAATACAGCTCCGGCCTGTGCTGTATTAATTTAATAAAATCTATGGACCCAAAACAAACACAGGCGCTTGTACCTGCGTCTCAGCACATGGGTTGCAAACATTTAAAAACAAAGACATTCTAATAATGCAATAGAAAAATTCATACTTAAATCTAAAAGTCCTAAGAAAATGAAAGCTTAATATAACTTTTGCATGGATGTGTTAAAAAGCGGGGAGGAAAATAAACTTCTCTCTAATCCACTGGGTTACAGAATAAGGGGACTAGAAACTCGCTGTTACTCAGGTCCGATGGTTTTCACTCTGGGGTGCTTTCTGCGTTTCATTTGTTTAAAATTGAAATAAACATGTAAAAATGTTAAATAAAGGGCTCTGTCTTCAGCTAGGTTTGTCTTTTAAAGTGTTTATTCCTTTACAAAACTTAATAGAACTTTCACTTGTATTTGTTAAAAAGCAGGTGAAGAAGTAGCCTTCTTATCTCTGATCCACTGGCTTACAGAGGGTGTTTTTGCTAACAGCGACTTTGCTGCAAAAGCAAGCAGTTTCAAACTGTCCTTACCAAAAAAATGACCAGTGCTAGTCTAAACCATAGGGGGGAACCATTACTTTTATCAACAGAATTTCTGTGTTTTTAACCCTGGGTTGTTTCTGCAGACTCACATGTTATTGAAACACCTATGCCAAACGGGCCATATAAAGAAATGTGTTTTCAGATAGCCTCGTTCTTCAAAGGGGTCATCTTCTTTTCTAATCCACTACCTTCAAAAGGCTGTTTCAAGTTGTTCTCACTAAAATCCCCATAGGGAAAAGCTTTTAAAATTTTTTTCTTAGTCAGGGTTTAGACCTGTGGTGCTTCTGCATGCTCCTTTTTTTATTGAAACGTATGCCAAAGCATTAAATGAAGGAATGTGTCTTCATATAGCTTGTCTTTTAAAGTGTTTATCCCTTTACAAGCCTTTCACCTCTATTGGTTAAAAACTTTAATAAATTACTTTTATAAACTAACTGGCTGTGGTTTTAACCCTGAGGTAATTTCTTTTTTTATTTTACCTTGTTAATAAGCTTAGTTACAAAGCAATGCCTTCTTCACATAACAAAAGAAAAGGTTTATTTCAACAAGTATTTGGTATAATTTTGTTTTAAAAGCAGCCTAGGGCTTTCTTGTTATGGTCTGGCCTTCTTACCTCTGATTCACTGACCCACAGACGCTGTGTTTGTTGAAAAAGCATGCTGCTTCAAAATGTTCTTACTAAAAAATGACCCATGTTAGTCTAAAACATAGGGGGAAACTTTTTTATCACTATACATTACTTTTATAAACAGGATTTCTGTGTGTTTAACCCTGGATTGTTTCTGCAGACTCACATGTTATTGAAACACCTATGCCATGGGGGTTAAATGAAAAATTGTGTCTTCAGATAGTCTTGTTTTTCAAAGGGGTCGTCGTCTTTTTCTAATCCACTACCTTCATTGTCTTTTCTAATCCACTACCTTCAGAAGGCTGTTTCAAGTTGTTCTCACTGAAAACATTGGGGGAAAACTTTTTCTTAGTCAGGGGTTAGGCCTGGGATGTTTCTGCCTGCTTTTTTTATTGAAACACTCCTGTAAATAAAGGGATGTATCTTTAGGTGGGTTTTTCTTTTAAAATGTTTGTTTAATAAGTTAGAAAAGAGGGGATTTTAGGTATTACTTCACAAATAAACACATTTTAAAATTGTTTATAGTGTGTGCTGGTCACCTTTTGTTACAGGGTCCTGTTTGTTTAGATAAGAGCAAAGCAGGCAGCCTCTAAAGAAAAAAAAAAAAGGCAGGAATCCTGGGCTACATACTTTAGCTTTAATGGTTACAAAGTCTTTATTTTATATAGTAAGCTTATTTACAGTTAAAGTTACTGTTCTTTTTAGTACAAGTCTTTGGCATCATTTTATTTTAAAAGCAGGCCTTGGGCTTTCTTGTTTCTGATCACAATGGCTTCTTTTTTCACATTGTTCTTACTGACCATGTTAGTCTAAAACTTTGTGTTTTTAATTCCTGAACTGTTTCTGCAGGCTTACCTTTTATTAAAACACTTATGCCAACAGGACTAAATAAAGGAGTGTATCTTTTCAAGGGTTTATTCCCTTACAAGACTTTCACCTCTCTTTGTTAAAAAGTGGGGAAAGAAACAAGCTTCTTCTCTCTGGTCCAGAGGTTAACAAAATAAGGGAAATATAAATCTGTTACTAAAAACCTGGGGTTTTAAACCTGGGGTAATTCTGCCTGCTCTATTTTATTGAAACACCCCTGTAAATAAAGGGCTGTATCTTTTCAAGTCAATATAAAGCAGAGCTTTATTCCATTACAAAACTTAACGTAACTAACTTGTGTTTGTTAAAAAGCAGGTAAAAAAGCAGCCTTCTTCTTTCTAATGACAGCTATCAGCTGCAAAAGCCTGTTGTTTTATATTGGGCTTACTAAAAAAAATAACCAGTGCTAGCCTAAAACCTAGGAAAAAACTTTTAAAAATTGTTTGTTGCTAAAAGCGTATGGTTTTAACTTTTATGAAAACCCCCTTCTAAAAAAAACTTCATGGTGGGGAAAATGCTGGGGGTCTGTTTCTTTAGATAAGAATAAGGCCGTTAAAAGGGGAGGGGGAGAATCCTGGACCTATAAAATTGGTTCAGGAAAATGAATTCTATGACGCTGCTGTAGAACAACCTCTGATTGGCCCGATCCAAAGGCGGGAATAACGAGTCTGAAAGTTTCTGACTGTAGTTGCCTCATTTTACAGAAAGACAGGCAAGGTAAAAATGTCTCTCTCTCTTCGATTCAGCCATGTGCTGTCTCTTTCCTCTGTTCTTTCTTTTAACCTACCCTGATACTGAATGCTTTTTTATTCACTTTTTTTATCATGTGTTTGCTAAATTGCCTTTTTAAACCTAGCTTTTAATGTTTTTTATTCACTTTTTAAATATTATTTAATGCTTTAGTCACTCTTTTATCATGTGCTTAGTAAATTTCCTTTTTAAACCAAGCGTTTAATGTTTTTTAGCCATGTTTAGTAAATTTTCTTTTTAAAGTTTTATAGCTTTTAATGTTTTTTTAGCCATGTGCTTACTGAACAGGTTTTGCCTTAGTTTTTAATATTGTTTAATGCTTTTTTTATTCTCTTTTTTATCATGTGCTTACTAAACAGGCTCTGCAACCATGTGCTCTGTATTTTTCCCCTTTTCTTGCCCTGTTTTTTAGGAAAGGTAAAGATCTCTTTCTCGCTCCAATTCAGCCATGTGCTCTCTATTTTCCCTCTGTTACTGAATGCTTTTTTATTCACTTTTTTATTACTTACTAATTTTTAGTGATTACTAAATTCCCTTTTCTTGCCCTGTTTTTAACCTTTTTTCTTAACCTATCCTGATACTGAATGATTTTTTATTCACTTTTTTTTAATCATGTGCTTACTAAATTGCCTTTTTAAACCTAGCTTTTAATATTTTTTTAGCCAGTTTTTGGCCATGTGCTTATTAAACAAGGTTTTGCCTTAGTTTTTAATATTGTGTAAAGATTTTTTTATTCACTTTTTTATTATGTGCTTACTAAACAGGCTTTGCCTTAGTTTTTATTATTGAATGCTTTTCTATTCACTTTTTTACCATGTGCTTCCTAAACAGGCTTTGCCTTACTAAATTTTCTTTTTAATCCTAGTTGTATTGGTTTTAGCCAGTTTTTGACCCTGTGCTTACTAAACAGGTTTTTAATATTATTTAATGCTTTTTTATTCATTTTTTAATCATGTGCTTACTAAATTTCCTTTTTAAACCTTGCTTTAAATGTTTTTGGCCATGTGCTTACTCAACAGGTTTTTCCTTAGTTTTTAATATTGTTTAATGCTTTTTTTAATTCACTTTTTTATCATGTGCTTCCTAAATTTCCTTTTTAATCCTGTTTTTATAGTTTTTAATGTAAGGTAAAGATCCTCTCTAAATCTTGGGACTACAGGATTGGTTCAACAAGCGCATTATTCTGTGACCTAGCTGTAAAACAATCTCTGATTGGTCCACCAAAAGGAGGGGCTAGCTCCCAAGAGCGCTGCCCAGAACAGCTATCATTTCACTACCAACAGTCGATGGGATAGGATGTTTCGCTCTGCATGTGATCAGTAACACAAACACTCTATTCTTTAATAACAGATCTCCTTACTGAATCACATCCAATAACCTTACCCAAATGTCTCTCGCTCTAATCTTTCAGTGTATCACATTTTCTATTCTTTTATAGCATACCTTTACCAGCCTCTCTTTTCTTTAATAACCTGCCCTTTAACAACAGCTCTCTTTACTCAATTATCTTTTTTCAGTAAACCTGACCCAAACTTTCCTTTTCATCAACCCTAAACTTCTCTCACTCTAGTCTTTCAACCTTTTTCTCTCAATGTCTCACATTTTCTATTCTTTTATAGCATACCATCATCTCTCTTTTCTTTAATAACCTGCCCTTTAACAACAGGTCTCCTTACACAATCACCTTTTTTCAATAAACCTGACCCAAACTTTAAACTGCTCTCAGTGTATCCAAACACAGCACTTCCCCCATTCAAACGAGCACAAAAATTTTTTTCAAAATGGCCGACGGCGCCAAACTTCGGCGCCAACGGAAATGGGGTAGGAGGATGGGACAAAAGACCCAAATGGGGTGTGGAAACATGTCAAAAATGCATGGTGATGAAAGCTATTGAGGAAAATACTACTGACAGGTTTGTTCTTTTGCGGTTAACGGTCTTTCCTAATTTCTAGCTGCTATGGTTACATTTCTTAAGCTGTGCTGTTGTAACTGCCCCACAATGAAATTTTCCTCACCCTCTTCTTATGCTCTATATACACAGTTAGCTTGATCAAAGTTTTAGACCTGTAAGTTAGGCCTACTAGATTTTTCCTCCACAAGGGTCCCCCCACCGGGATCTGTACTGGGACCTGTGCTGTTCAACACATTCATAAATCATCTGGAGAAAGGGGTAAACAGTGAGGTGGAAAAATTTGCAGATGATACAAAATTACTCAAGATAGTTAAGTCCAAAGCAGCTTGCAAAGACTTATAAAGGGATCTCACAAAACTGGGTGACTGGGCAAGAAAATGGCAGATGAAATTCAGTGTTGATAAATGAAAATTATTGGACATAGGTAAACATAATCCCAACTATACCTACAAATGATGGGGTCTAAATTAGTTGTTACGACACAAGAAAGAGATCTTGGAGGTACACTGGATAGCTCTCTGGAAACATCTGCTCAATGTACATCAGCAGTCAGAAAAAGCTAACTGATTTTTAAGAACCATTAGGAAAGGGATAGATAGTAAGATAGAAAATATCATAATGCCACTATATACATCCATGGTACTCTCACATCTTGAATATTACATACAGTTCTGGTTGCCCCATCTCAAAAAAGATATATTAGAATTGGAAAAAGTACAGTAAATGTAGAGGTATGAAACAACTTCCATATGAGGAGAAGTTAAAAGTACTGGGACATTTCAGCTTGGAAAAGAGATTACTAAGGGTGAATATGATAGAAATGTATAAAACCATGAATGGTGTGGAGAAAGTGAATAAGGAAATGTTATTTATCCCTTCACATAACACATAATTCCCTCGCAAGCATCTGGCACCAGCCACTGGGCCAGATGGACCATTAGTCTGACCAGTATGGCTGTTCTTAAGTATTTTTATTAACATTATAAAATAATTTATGTTCCATTAGCCTTCTCCTCAGAAGCAACTAATTTGTTTTGGCTTGAAACGTTCCAGAAAAATTCAGCCTGAGCCAAACACCCGGCTTCAAAAATATCAGCCCAAATGGTTAAAGTTTACCCAAGTTAAAACCACAGAAACAGGGTCTTATAATGGGAAGTGTCGGGCAACCTTAATAAGAAGCAGTGCCACCATCCTTGCATATAATAACGGGGTGAACAAAAAAAGACATATTCAGGCAACCGTACATTTTGTGATGTTTGTGGTCTGGATCCATATTTGGCCAGCTGGGCCTTTCTCTCGTTTATACTATATACGGTTACTAAAAGGAAGAAGACAAAAATCATTCTAGTCACTTTTGAAATTCAGTGTGTAAGGGACTTGCTAATGGAAATATGTAATAACAATAAATTGAACTGGGATTCCCACAAGGCTCAAAGTCAGTCTCCTCCCCCACCCCCAGTAGTAGAAAAATGTATATACTGTTCTCTGTAAGAAGCACACTTGCAGTAAATCAGCATGTGCTGTTTTAAATCAAGTTGAAGAGCTTTTCTCAGACATTTGCTAGCATTTCTGATATGAGTGTTCTACTGAGGTGAAGTCAGAATGAAAACTGGACACAGCAAGCAGCCATGTATTGAAATAAAAAAGCAGGCAGATTACACAGCCCATAGAAATTCATTAGTGAATCACGCTACTAGGAAATAGCCATAATAAGGAAATGAGTCCTAATTATAATGTCGTAGGAACCAATTCTGGTATAATAGAATCATAGAATATCAGGGTTGGAAGGGACCTCAGGAGGTCATCTAGTCCAACCCCCTGCTCAAAGCAGGACCAATCCCCAATTAAATCATCCCAGCCAGGGCTTTGTCAAGCCTAACCTTAAAAACTTCTAAGGAAGGAGATTCCACCACCTCCCTAGATAACGCATTCCAATGTTTCACCACCCTCCTAGTGAAAAAGCTTTTCCTAATATCCAACCTAAATCTCCCCCACTGCAACTTGAGACCATTGAGATGTCCCTCGATCTGCTCGCTATGCCCCTACTTATACATCCCAAAATGCCATTGGCCTTCTTGTCAACAAGGGCACACTGCTGACTCATATCCAGCTTCTCGTCCACTGTCACCCCTAAGTCCTTTTCTGCAGAACTGCTGCCGAGCCATTCGGTCCCTAGTCTGTAGCTGTGCATTGGATTCTTCCGTCCTAAGTGCAGGACCCCGCACTTATCCTTATTGAACCTCATCAGATTTCTTTTGGCCCAATCCTCCAATTTGTCTAGGTCCCTCTGTATCCTATCCCTGCCCTCCAGCGCATCTACCACTCCTCCCAGTTTAGTATCATCCGAAAATTTGCTGAGAGTGCAATCCACACCATCCTCCAGATCATTTAGGAAGATATTGAACAAAACCAACCCCTGGGGCACTCCACTTGACACCGGCTGCCAACTAGACATGGAGCCATTGATCACTACCCATTGAGCCCGACAATCTAGCCAACTTTCTACCCACTTTATAGTGCATTCATCCAGCCCTATAAGTTCTAATTAGCACTTTACAAACACTGACTAATCTTCACAACAACTTTCCATGAAGCAGGTAAATAACGAGTTATCCCAGTGCAGCTTTGCATGCCACAAAACTGAAATGGAGAGATCAAATATTTTGCCCAAGGTCACAAGGTGAGTCAGGGGATAGAATTCAGGAGGTTCTGGCTACCAGGCCTTAGATTTTGCTCCAAACTCAAAGTGAATCTGAACAAAATATTTCTGAGTTCTGAAAAAAAGTTCCATTAAATTGGTGTGGAGGGGGAACCCATAAAAATACATTTTGCACTGGTTCTGGCTGGGATGGAAACCAGAAATGCTAAGATACCAGGAGAGGGAAGCAGTTCTTGTGGCACTTTTGGTATTACTAGAAGTACTGAAACTCTCACCAGTGAGTCTGAGTTCTTTCAAGATTCCCAGCAATGTGTTGCAGACCTGAAGGCTTGGGTCAGATAAGGATCTGGATAAGAATCCAAGTGGAACTTTATCTTGTCAGAGCCAGGATGAGAACTCACGAATTCCTGGCTCCCAGTCCATTGCTCAGACAGAAATAAATTTTAGGAACAATTTGAATGTGAAGAGGGCAGTGGGTTGGAGAACAGGTTTATGGAGGGCAATGTTGCCATAGCTGGTATTTTTTCTTAAATCCCCATATCCTGGAGAATCTCTGCCTTCATTTTTTACTAAAAGGAACCTTCTAGCCCTCTTGGTTGCAAAGAAAAGCTTGAGAACCTGCCTTGACTGCACCCTAAAGGTTCCTAAACAAGAAAGCAAATAAAAAGAAACCTGTATTTTTATTTTTAAAAGTCTCCCGTGATTCTTTAAGGCAATATCATGATATAGGGAGCGGGGTCTGACTCACGTTTGGGGTTGGCAACACTGTGGGCAGCGTGAAAAGCATGCAAGTAGGAGAAATGGGCATCAGGTTTACATTGCAAGGAGGGGGAGGCGCAGGAAGGAAACAGTGAAGGTCAGAGAACATATACAAATCATGAGCAATGCAGTAACGTGAGAAAACTCTTACCTTGTCCAGGATTAGGCAGAGCCAGAGCTGGGGCCTGGAATATTATCTCTTTCCACACACACACACGCAGACACAGATGGCAACTGTCTCTCAGATCCTTACACACTCTCCATGCAGCCTGCTCCCATGTTTGAAAGCAAACAGCAGCTGTTTCTAAAGACTGCCATTGTGATGTCACTCTGTTCTTCTCATGCTGTTACCACATTCTGCCTGTTGCTGTGACATCAGGGTTGCCACCATCTTGAAATTAACCTTAAACTATTGCAGGAAAAATACCCGCCTTTTGAAATAAATGGTGTGTACTTTAAACGTGCCCCCTTTAGTTAAAGCCAGTTTTGCAGAAGAAAATCCCATCATTTTTAAATACAACTTTGGCAGAAAAGTCTTGCTGAGAAGTCAGCCTCACTGGAATTGAATGAACATTCAGTGAGATTTTTTTAAATACAGTTTTTCATCTTCAGTGGCATGGTATAAATGCCACAGTGCCCTCCACATTTTAAAGACAAAAAAATGCTGGTGTAAAGCCCAGGGCTCATTCCAAGGATGTTTTAGTGGTGCCAAAGGGAAAACTTAAGTTTTTTTTAAAACTGTCTCTTCTTAAAGTTCCTAGGAGAAGCAAGCAGGGGCTACATCAGTTGGTATCCCCTATTCCCTTGCGTAATAACTAAAATCAAATAGACCAGAGGTTCTCAAACTGTGGCCCGTGGACCACCACTAGTGTGTGAGCCCCATTCAGTTGGTCCGTGGATAGTGCCCTCTAAGATGCACGTCTGGGTGGCCATACACGAGAGAATGCGGGGAATTTGGGACATGCAGGGCTGCGGCAGCCAGAGAAAGAGGCGACTTTCCCCAGCTCCTGGGCTGCGGCTGTCGGAGACAGACCCCCCTCCTTCCCAGCCCCACCTTGGGGGCTGCTGCGGTGGAGGAGAGAGGGAGAGACCCCCCCCTTCCCAGCCCCAGCTCGGGGGCTGCCGCGACGGGGGAGAGAGAGCACATCCATCGCACTAGTAAGATAAGAATACTGATATTAAAATATGAGTTGTGTGCTTTTATTTGTAGAACAAAAAAGGATAATTATTATTAAGTTATTTTTATATAGCACTTTTATCCAAAGCACTTTACAATAGTTAGCTAATGGCACAAACAACACTTGGAAAGATCATTAAGTTGTCCGCCAAGACCCTCAGCAACTTTCAAGTGGTTCATGAAAAAAAAAGTTTGAGAACCACTGAAATAGACATATTGGGGTGGATTTCCAAAAGAAAATAAGGGCCAGACCTTCAAAAGGTCCAAGCACCCATTGTGACCGTCATGGCCACATATTCCAAAGAACTTGGTATGTATCGTGATGAGCTCTTTTGAAAATCTGGTCACTTAATTTTGAGCTCAGATGGGAGTTGAGCTTTTCTGAAAATTCTTACCAAACATGAA